TGTTTTAGGGTTTAAAATTGGATATTAACTTCAGTCAGTCATGTACTTATTTGCAGTCTTCCAGTGTTAACTCATCCATTTCCTTGGTCTAGCTTTCTCCAAACTTTAGGAAAATTCTAATATGGTTATATTTTTCACATAAACAATCTCAATTCAACGAGCTGTGCCTTCTCAAATATCCATCAGACGTCCACACCTTTTTAAAAGCACAATATTGTCACAATGTCGCGAATTAATAAGAGTTTTGTTTGTTTGCACTTATATGACTGCTGTGTATTTTTACAGTCTGATGTTTTTAATGAACTTCAAACTAGTAGAGGTAAAATATTTTTGTCTTTAAATACATGTATGTGCATATACAGTTATAATAAAAACACTGACTGCTCTTTGAAAAACTTTTGATGACTGTTTGAATACATGTAGAACATTGATCCCAAAGTCCATGAAATGAGGTTTCTCAGATAAATATTACTTTCCTTTACCTGATGGGTATTTTCTCCCCCATATAAGGCTCCTGCCTCAACACCTCCAGGATTTTGTTCTGCAATTCTTTTATTCCATCTGCTTTTCCTTCTTCCTCAGCTGAATATGTTTAGAAAATGAATTAAAAGCACAATGTGACACAGAAATTTGTGCTTACAATGAGAATAGTTTGTATCATACATGTGTGATTGCAGATATTTTATGGCTGACAACATAGCTAAGATGATAATTCTCCAACTCCCCAAATCATCTTCTGTTTCTTATTTAAAATTATAATGACACACAACACCACTAATGGATGACATGCAAATGTGAGAGCCAGATAATAATTGTTCTTAATGCTCAATGTTTGCCAACCATCTACCAAATGGGCCTTTGATTGAAAAAAAAACTGGCCACAACTTAAGTGCTCTTGGAATTGATGCAAAGACAAGCTAGTAAGCAATTATAACACCATCAATTACTGCAAGTAACACATGGTGAAGGATACAATTAAAGACATAAAATATTATTTTTACCTCTTT